GACTAAGTATATAGCTAGTTGATGAAATAGCCTACTTTCAATGATAGGGGCTACTGAGTAACTACTGTTAGCTAATAAGAGTGACTTAATTTTGTTCTTCAACTCTTATGAACATGCTGACTTCTCAACAGCTCTCTGAAGAGTTCCTGTCTCATTTTCCAGCAACCAAAAATTAATTCAGCTTTCCCACTTTCACAGCCACAGTGAAATTTTCATAATAAAATACTACCAGAGGGTCATATCAAATCAATATGGATTTGGGGTTGGTGATGCCAGAGTAATTTTGAATGACACTAAGGTTATTCCTTTTGGCTTCCAGGCATCAAGACATCAGAGAGGATTTGGCCGATTCTATTTGTGTCCATGGAGAACAAATTTGGGGGGGGGGGGAGTGTAGCCAGGATAACGGAGAGCAGTAGTAAAGGGCGTAGGTCAAAATTGTGCATCACAGCTCCTCCTATTGTTACCCTATAGTGACCACTGAACGAACAACAGTGTTCTTTATATTAAAAATGTGATAGTAATATCAACATCCTTTCTTAAACTGTATCTCACAGACTACATGTTCTGCAACACATTACTAAGTACTCAGGGAAAGAATACTAAAGAAAAACCAATGTATTAGGTTTTAAGTTGAGAAATGCTTTGAACAGAGTTGAACCATTTTTGTTTTTTTTCACCTCAGGACTTCCCAGAGCCTTTAAATAAGCTCATGTGCACCGTGAATCTCTAGGACATGATTTTAGTAGAGAGCAGCTCTGGGTTTATTTAACTATAGACTCTCTGTCAGAGAGCACCAGTTCACATTCCGTGCCACACTGGGGAGTGCCCCTACTTGAGAAGTAGTACATCTTATGGCATCAGTAATGGGGTGTGTGCGTGTGTGTGTGTGTCTCACTGGCTTAACTGGCACAATCAGGAAGGATACATTGCACAGTACATTTGTTCTTACTGCTACTCTAACAAATCATCACAAACTTAAGTAGCTTCAAACAACACAAACGTAATAACCTCATAGTTCTATGTGTTAGAAGTCTAACAGGGGTTTGTTGGGCTGAAATCAAGGTGTGTTGACAGGGCTGCATTCCCTGCTGGGGGCTCCAGGGGAGAATCTGCTCCTTGCTTTTTCTAGTTTTAGAGGTTTCCCACATTCCTTGGTCCGTTGCCCACTTCCTCCATCTGCAAAGCCCGCAGCGCTGCATCTCTCTGATCGTTCTACTGTACTATCTCCTGCTGGCCACAGACAAGGAAAATTCTCAGTTTTTAAAGATTCATTTTAAAGATCCATGTGATTAGATTAGACCCACTTGGATAGTCCAAGATAATCTTCCCATCTCTACATTGGCAAAATTCCCTTTTGCCATGTAAGGTAATATATTTCAGGGATTAGGGTCTGGACATTTTTGGGAGCCATTATTCTGCCTACCACATATGGGTTGGTAAGAATACCTGAGAGTTCTGGCCAGCAAACAAGGTCAACGAATAAGAAGGAGAGCAACTCTTCCTATCATTTGTTTTTTCCTAATTATTACTTATCATGGTATTAGGGGAGTTAAAATTACTATCTCATTAAGGGATATAGAACAGTAAACAAAATATGGAACATGTTCCCAAGCACCAAGAATTTGGTTCTATCTCCACAAGGTAGAGAAGAGAGCACAAGTGCTCTGGGAATCAGATTCTCCACAAACTCATCCAGCAGGCCTCTCAGTGATATGGGCCTGATTCAACCAGGTGTACATTTTCCAGGAAAAGGAACATACCCCTAATCAGCTTTGCTGAAGTTTTCTTTGCTAACGGGCCATGCATTCATTACTGCCTCTGACATAGGCACTGTAATTGTCTCATTTAACCCTCTTTATGGTTTTGTTACCTGACAAGACCTTGCTTCTACCAAACCAGTAAAAAGTACATCATCTGATACCAAAGCCCGAGTTCTTAACCCTACACGATAACTTTGTTCACTTTTGCGTGTGTATGTGTCTATTCATTTTTATGACCCACCTCTCCCATATGTCTTCCCTTCCCCATCCCCAGCCCGAAGTAAATTCTTTCCTGTCTCTCTCTGATTTGAGGGTCTACACGTGTGGCCCTAAGGGTGTGTGCATGTGCATATGCGTGCACTCAGGAACTCTCTTTCTGTCCCTGGTAGCTTCATGAGGCTTTATGCCTTGCATACCTAACCTGTTTTGATCTGTGATCAGATATGGAGACCTCTGGGTCATAGGCAGGATGCATCACAAGTGCATGCCTTAGAGTCCTATCTAGCTTCAAAACGTGGCTAGGTCATCACCTGGAACTTGGCAAATTATGTGAGCACCATGAACTTTAGTTGCCTCCTCCTGTGAGAGACTGATAATATCTGCTTCAGAGGGTCATTGTAAAGATTAAAAGAGATGATTATGTAAAACATCTGATAGATAATAGTTGCACAGTAAACTGTAGCTGATACTATTATCAACTACCTGTTCTGTTTGCTTACATAAAAGTGCTCTGCAAAGGTCTTGTTGCTATGAAAGATGCTTACTGGCCACATCTATCTTTATCAGTGATATTTGCACAACCAACAAACTCTAGTTTAATTCACACCCTATTGCTAAGGTGTGGTTCAAACCAGTTTTCTTTTCAAGGGCTGTGCCTGCCTGGAGAAAGGGGGCCTGAGACGTCTTGAAATTTGCTAATCACATCTGGTTTAGCTTTAGACATTTTCTGGGGTTTTGCCAGCAGCCACGACATTTTAATGGCTACAATAAACCTCAAAGCCTCATCAAATCTTTGCTGTATGTGTGAAAATTATGTCCTCTTCAATTAAACATTCAATCTAGGCTCACACCAAGGCCTTATGGAAAAGGACGTGGAACCTGAATGGGAAAGGAGATGAAACGGACCGCCACGACTCTGGCCATCTTGCCAGATGGCATTTAGGAGAAAAAGAAATTCATTAGAGAACCAACAGTCTGTATTTTCTTTAAATATTTACTAGGTACCTTTCATGTGTTAAAAACACTGGCATCTCTAAAGATTAGCAGGGCATTTTTGTTTAAATATCCAATGTGGGGGCAGGGGGCGGAGTCCCACTTCTCCCTCTTGCCTTGTGGTACCTCACATCTTTTGGTGTAGTCCAATCCAAAGAAGAAAAAACTTTTGAGGCAATGTTTGGTTTTCCTTCATTTTAAGGGAGGTCTTCCAGCTTCAGAAGTTCTTTCAGTTCCTTAAAATTGACTAAGGACAAGGGTCAGTGGAGTACCGAGAGATGTGGAATGGCACCTGGGATCCCCTTGCAGAAAATAAGGTGCACCAAAGGGGGGAGCCTTTGTGGGAACACCTGCCTCTCTACTGTCCTCCCAATTCACTCTTGTCATCCCTTGGTTATGAATCGTCAAACACTTGCAGACGTCAAAGGGAGGTGGCCCAGCCAGGATGCCTGAGAGAGGCAGCCCCAGGAAGGAAGGCAGGAGAAGAGGAAAGATCCCACGTACATCAGGTTTCTTCTCGAAAAACGCCACAGGAGGGCAAAGGGCCAGGAGACCAAAAGGGATGTGTATTCAGGGGCGGCCGCAGCATGAACCAGCATGACTTTTCCTAGCTGCAGCGAACCTTGCAGCCAGATTGAGGGCCGGCCTGGGCGCTAATTCTGCCCCTGGAGAGTGCCAGGAAAAACTGCCACAGGGATGGCTCACACGGTTTTATGACAGTAAGAATCAAGCCCCTCGTCTTAGGCAAGGATACAACCGGCAGTGTTTTAGGAGAGGGCAAAGAATAACTGCAGGTTCATATATCATATTCGTAAACGAAGCATCCACTAGGTTGAATGCATGCTCTTGACCACATCAACGGGAGGGGAAAAGAAAAGCTACATGTTCCTTTAAAAATAATTTACAAGGTAGAAATATTCACTTGTAACCACTCTCCCTATTTAAGCGAGTTTTATGCCCAGAGTAAAAACTAAATGGCTCTCTCCCTGCCACCAGGAGATCTGTCCCACTTCACTTCCCTTTCCAGGCTGCTCTCTCTGTCTCAGACTTGGATTTCTGAGCACTCTTTCATAATAAACATTTTTAAAATGTTTATTTTATGTCTTAGTGTAAAAATATTCCTGGTTCAAGCTCTTCATTTCCTCAAACTCTCCTTTTGGCACTCTGCGCTCCATTTCCACATTAGCACGCTCCCTAAATCCTCTGTGCAGCTCTACAGTTGGACTTACATAAGGCCCAATGCACGTATTTATATACTTGGATAAGGAGATGTCTCCACAGTGAAAACACAGGACTCGAGCAACGCCAAAGGAAAATTCCTGCTCAAGAGACACAGTTTCACCTTTTACAAAAAGCCAGAAAGGGCTGTCAGCATTTTGTTGTGAATAATTAAAAATGTAAATTCAACTAAAATAGACTGCTTACGATGGGTCCTGCCATCTTCATTTGACTCGTATACATAAACCAAGTATATGGGGGGGGGGTGTGCACGGGTGAGTATGTGTGTACGCATGTGGTATACGTATAAGGCAGCATAGTCAACTAGCTTAGAAACTGCATGAGTTCTAGTCAGATAGGCCTGATGAGAGCCCAGTAAATGGGCCTCTCACGGGCTGTGCGAACCTAACTTCCCTAAACCTCGTTTTTCTCATCTGCAAAATGGAGTTAGTATAGTTTCTGCTTACTAGGGTTGTTGTAATAATTATATGAGACAACAGAAAGCATTCAAGGAAGGGTTGCTGCTGTTATTAGTAAGATGACTATCTGTTATATGTTGGAAAATGTAGATGTAAAAGACGTCGATATAAAAAGCACAAAATAACACTAATAAAAGAAAGGGATATGCAAATACAGTGCCTCCAAATAGAGCATAAGAGATGGAAAGTCTCACGAGGGCTGCAGTGTTACCATAGCTGAGCTCTGCACCAATTCCATCCCGTGAACCAGACATAAATAATCCTCTTCATTCATTAAAAAAAAAAAAAAGCTTAGCTATTATCATAATAACAGAACAGTTCCTGTTACCTTCTAGTTGTCTCTTCAGTTTTCTCAAATCTTTTATGAGGTCTTCAAACTTGACTTGGGAAGCCAGAAAGAAATCTTGTGGTTCAGGCAGAGGGAAAATACTCTTTTCTGTTCCTGCTTCCTAAAAGACACAGTTAACAAAAGTACATTATACTTCCCAACTGTCACTTTCAATTGAAATTCCAAAGCATCTTTTATTGGATGTGCAAATAAGAATCAGAGAAATTCTCCTCTGCTATTCCTAAATTTGGACTGGTTACTCTGAAATGCTTTTGCGTCTTCTACAATATCACTTTGGTCTTACTGCCACTGAGGTTGGCTCTGGCTCTGGCACGGATTTCGCTCTATTTTGCCTCATGAATCAAAGAGAAAGTTGTCAGGTATGTCCCAATCTTGGACACCCTACTCCCATGGAAAAAGGCACGGGAGGAACACATGAAAGTACTTAAATTTCAAGTCCCTGTTGGAGTTTCACATGGTAGCAATTAGCTAACTCATCTTTGGGGTGTGCCAACGGGTGTGAATCAGAAGGTTCTGGACAAGACAGCACTGCAATGGAAGAATCACCCTCCCTCCCTTATGCTGTTACCTACCGGCCACTGCAGCTGAAAGCTCCAGAGGAGTGTCTGTGTGACAGCAAATTCTTCACGTATTTGTAAAGATTTTCCAAATGTTGTTTGGCTTCTCTTAGTAGACACTTGCTGAGGGCATGGTTGGCCATAGTTTTGGACAAGCTCCCCAACTATGCCTAGTAGAGGATCTAAGCTGGGAAATCACTTGAGAGACACAAGCTTCAGGCACATTGAAAGATAAGCTGGGCCTCAAATATCTTTTCCAGTCCAGCCTGCTTTCTCCCTGAGTTGTTTAACATAAGCTCTGCATCTTGCATATCCCAGGCAGTCTTCAGTTCTTCCTCTCTCCACACAGGCTACTTTGCCAGCCCTCCTTCACATTCCATCTTCCCTACTGCCATTAGGACTCATTCCAAACTCCGAAACTGCTTTATAAGGCACTTTATGATCTGGCCTCTGTCTACACCCTCAGCCTTCTTCCATCTTCCCCTATCTCTACCTCCCTCCCCTAAACGTTCATAAAGGAACAGAACAGGCCACAATCTCTTGCATCTGGACTTTTGTCTATAAAACTGTCCCTTTGTAACTCTTCTACACGAACTCTTCATGCTTCCTTGCTCATATTGTTCTTCAAGTCTCGAGACGGATATCACTTCCTCAAAGATTGCCCCTAACCCCCAACACACGGGTGTTTCCAAGAGCCCCTGGTGCATACTGTTATCAAGCACTTACCAACATTCATTTCAAAATTGCTGAGTTAGCTTATGTGTTTCCTCTGCTAGACTACAAACACTGTGAAGGCAGGAAGTGTGTCTTATTCTTGGTACAGCACGCAACGCAACATCAGGCATATCAAACTTTGCTCAGCACCCTTGCGTAGAACCCATAAAAGGCCATTCTGAAAAGTGTGTACCTTTAGCAGGAGACATCTACCTTACTGTCCTACTTTCTTGTGGTTTCAGGAATGCTCTGGACCCATCCCCTTCCTTTAAGATCTTTAGCTTCACTTGAGATGCTAAGGAAGGGTGGTTTTCCTCATTTTATTGAAACCTTTTACACACTCAGTTTACTTTCCCCCTATATCCCTATAATTATTTTCCTACTTTCAAAACAATGGAAGCAGTACTGTAGTCTGAGCGCCAAGGTGGAACACCATCTACGATGCTTGTCACAGAACTCCACAGCAATCTACACTGGAAGAACTCATGTATATTATCTCCTACTCTTTTCTAAAACTTTATCACATTCAGTCCTGGCTTTTTCTTTTTTTTAAGCTAGAAAATGAGAAAGTGCTGCTGAGCAAATGAGCCTGGTAGCAGCTCTTGAGAAAGCTGCTCAATTGGAATTCAAAAGACATGGCTCTAGATGGATTTCTGTAAACTTCACAGACTTAGACTTGGACCAAAAACCAGGATGCGTGGAAGGAGGCTTGGAACAGGAGTCACCTTTCTTCAGCTAATTGCTCATCACCACTAACCACAAAAATCATCACTTACGCTCCTATGGGGAGGGGATAGCTTAATAAATCACATAATTCTATACTCTTGCTGAGTGAAATGAATTTTTGCACTGTAAAAACCGGGAGAGCACGACACACAAACGTTGATTTCTGATTTTTCCTAAACTGGGCCATCCCAGGCTTGAAGCTATTCTTACTGTGAGATTTTCCTCAGTGAAGTCGATTCTACTGTGCTCAGCTCTCTTCGAGAGTCACATTTCATTGGCAAATTTCAGCCCTCTGACACAATGCACTGGACTTGGTTGAGGCAGGCACTACAAGATACATCTGCTTATGCTAATCCTAGGTTAGAAATGTGACCTCTTGAGATTCTTTGGGATAATTCTTCTGTCACACTGGTACCTGCTGTCAGAACTTCTGGGTATCTACCTATCACCTGAAGCCCACCCCATTCTACCAGAAAAAAGCTCTCACCTCTTTGCACCTAGTTATCTACAGATACCACTCACTGCACTCTTGTTCTACTTACAGTAGATTCAACCTAGTAAGTATTTGTCAGACACCTAAATTACAGACACTAAAAAACAGACAACGATGAGTTCTGGACCTCAAGGAGCAATGCCAAGCTAAGGGGTAATTGCTCACTGATATCTACATGCAAGGTGGAATAAGATGTATCACGACAGAGGTTCAACCCAAGTGCTCCCAGGCTTCAAAGGAGCACAAGATGAGGAAGTAAACAAAGGCTTCATGGAAGAAGGGCCATGTAAGACTGCGCTACTTTTTATCTTTTTTTTCCCTTTTACAAAGTGACTCAGGCTCATTATGTCTAATTGAAAGACAGAAGAAAGTAAAAATCTCTTCCAATCCTACCACCCAGAGATAATCAAACATTTTTACATATATCTGATATTCCAGGTTTTTCTGTGTGTTTATGTATATTTATATATTTGAAATTAGATTATATATTATTTTAAACACGTTTGTAATATAAAAGCAGATCAAGAGTATTTTTCAATGTCACTAAATTTTCTCCTATATACTTTCCATGGCAGTATATTATTCCACTTCAGAACGCTAGCATAATTTATTTGACCTTGGTCTCTACCTTTGGACATCTACCAAAAATTTTGCTATACTTTGTTATTACAAATGATTTTAAGTAAAATAGTGATACATGTCCTTATTTCTTTAGGATAAAATTTCCTAGAAAGATTATACATATTTCTAGGGCTTTTGATCTAGAAAGGTCAAAGTCTTGCTAACCCATACTGCACATTTATATGAATGAGGAAAGGGTGTCCCCTATAAATAGGCACAGCACCCTGGGGAGACAGCTTGACAAGCACATGACAACTTCATGTGAATTTTTTTGAAGGTATCCTTTATAGAACACAGTTTGGTGAGTCAAGGGCAATCATGATATGGGTCCCATTATACATAGAGATCTTAAACAGAGAATAACTCAGTCAGCCATTCATGATAGTCCTGAGAAAGATTTGATCCATTTATATTGCTAGCTCTATATACCTAGTTGGCAATTTATGCCTTCTATTTGTTTTTGTTGCTGTTGTTGTTGCTGCTGTCATTGCTGTTGTTTTGGTAAATTACCTGCAGTCTCTTGTGCCACTTTTTTTTTTTTTTTAAATGAAAGGAGACCAGTTGTCCTTTCCATGTTGATTCTGAAAAGCATGTTACCTATTATGTTGCAAATATACATATGTTGCTACTGGGAGCTTTTCCCCAAAAGGCCTTTTAATTGATTATTTCAAGAGAGTATTAATAACACAAAACAAAAGATCTATAAAAAGGCTAGTGACAAGGATAGTTCCAGTTAGAACATCAGATGAAAAAACACATCAGTGAGAAAACCATAGGGTGTGTTTGGAAAACACTGGGTCTTGAGTTGGATCACAGAGTATGTGTAGGGGGAAGGTCATAAAAGCATGGTTGTAAAAGACTGGAATTAAATTGGGTAGAGTCTTAATTCACTTTTTGAAAATGGGGATCCATTTCTGTTTTTGCATAAAAAAGTGATACAATATGGCCAGAACTATAAAAACTGGTGGGGCCTCCGGTGTGGGATGGACTGGAGGGGGAGTGATGGATGAGAGGTGGGGAGACCGGCTGGGAAGCAAGAGGAATACTCCAGGTGAGTTACCTTAAGGTCTGGATAAGTGGGGCATAGGGATGAAAAACAGGGAAGAAACACAAGAAACAATCTAGCTGAAGGATAGAGAGAAGCCAAAGAGGAGCACGAGCTTCATGCCTGGATGACCAAAACGATAATGTTCTCAGCAGAAACAGAAGTTTGAGGAGGGGGGTGGGAGATGATTCATTGCAGATACACTGAGAAGGGTTAGATGAGGAGGGGAGAAGACAAGATGGTAGACTTCATCAGTGCTTCGCTTGTCTTCTGGAGGGAATTATAGGCCTTTGGAAAACAAGGCCCTGGAACCTTTACTTTTCTTCCCGTGGTGCCTAGGAAAAACCCTGCTCGTGTGGACAGCTGTGCAGGAGTCCTGACAACAGTTTCCTGAGACTTTTCCCCTTCATATCGATTGCTAGATTTCCCAACACCTTACAACAGTACCTCTTTCTTTGCAAAGTTAGGACTCCTTGTTCTCAATTTAATGAGAAGGAATAAAACAGGAGTTTCTGCTCAGGTGGATTCCCACTGAAATTTTTATTTCTCACTGCAAATGTAATCGAAGCAGAGAGGATGGATTTCAAATTCCATTTCTTCAACTTGTTCACAGATGAACACTACTGATAAGGTATTGGGTATTACTGCCTCTTAATTTCCTAAATTTTGGTCTGCAGCCCAGAACTAATTTCAAATACAACCAATTACTGAATGGATATAGATTTCACAGAGACCCTCACGATCTGGTCAGAAGGCACCCAGACAACCGGGGGTCTCTCTAAAACTGTGTTATATAGCAGATTAAGAGGCAGTAGATTGAGAGGCAATGAATAATGCTTCTCTTTACAAGAGTCAACTAAACTTTCTTGGCTTCAGCGTTCCCATCTGTAAACCAAGGAGGCTGGAGAGCTCTCAAATTCTATGTTGGACTTGAAATCCATCCATCCATCCATCATCCAATTTCTGAATGCCAACAACGTGTAAGAGTTGAAACCCCATTAGTGTAGTTTTCCACATAATTCCATTTCTTACCTGATCATAGTAACGCAGGTAATATTTCACGACATAGTCAACCAGATTAATCCCATTATCCTAGGTTTAAAAGAGAAGCTTAAATGAAAATCATTCACATGAGACCGCCATATTCTATAGTTGAGTACTGAAATCTCAGTTTGTGACCCTAATACTTTTCATTTGTGATACCTGGTCCTGATTCTGTTTGTGACTGGCAAGATTTTCCTCTCTCCTCTTTGTCCCATCATTTTTTTTTTTTTAAATGTCATCTATACAAAGAAATGATACTCCGCTATACTTTGTGGGGGGAGAAAAGCCAAACAGATAATCTATGAGACCTCTGAGGTAATGGCTAAAACAAACAAACAAATACACACACTGTCTCATTATTTTCTGGCAGAAAGCCAAGACAGGAGGGAGTGGGGGAGTGCCAAAGGGAACCAGGGACTAGAACAGAAAACCATCCCTCCCTTCCCACCTTTCAAAAAAATGTGTGTTCTTAATGGCGTGAAAAACAATCAGGACAGCTTAAAAGGAACGCCATGCCACTTTATGACCCTAGGAGGCCAGGGGCAAGCAGGCCCTCCCACAAGGCAGCCTTTGTGTCTTGTTCACATGGGTCTAATTCTAATTTGCCTGTGTGTTTCCCCTCCCTTCACTCCCCCTGCTCCCCGTGGGATGCCTAGATATGGGCTGGTTGTTTCCAAAGAGGGAGCTCTGCAGGGGTGTGGAGCCAAATGATAATCAGGCTCAGAGAGTGTGACAGTAGACCCCAGCCCAATTGTTGTGGGCAAAAGAATAATTCAAATGCTCAGCTCAACTGGTGATTCAACAGTGCTCCCTACTCATGAATGAGTAAATTACAAGTAGTCAACACTATAAATTCAAACAGACTCCCAAGCCTTGTGCTCTGACTGATACTGCGTGCTATTTTCTTCCCTCATTACAGTTCAATATCCAACTGTGTTCTTTTGGAGCAAACCAATATTGGGGATTTTGTCATCTCAGTAAGATCAAACATGAGAAACCTATCTTTATTGAAAAGTCAAAAGAAAGCAAAGAAAAAATGTATTGTTAGAGGGAGAAAGGAGATGAATGGAGCAAGCAAGAATTTTTTAATTAAAGGTATAGAAGGAATACAATGGCAAATCATGGAAACTAGTTATGAAAAATAAATACCCGACTTTTGACGTCCTTGAGTTTGGGCAAAATTTCTAAGCTATATCCATCTGCTTGTCCCCGAGTCCTATTTCCTCCATTCATATAATTTCCAAAAGCCAGAATGAGAGCTAAAATATCCTTCACACTCTTCATGTGCAGCAAGCCCTGTGACGGCAAACACCAATTATTACGGAGCTGAACTTCAAAGGCACCTATATTCATTCAACAACAAATATTTACTGAGTACCCATCAGGCTGTTTGGTGGCATGGTGCCAACTGGATTGGCAGCTGGTGAAATGGAAAATACACTTTGTTAAGACATAAGAGTCTTAAAAAAATACATTAATCAGACATCATTTTCTATCCTTTCAATGAATTATGAACTGTGCATGTCTTAATACTGTGGATTAAATATTAGTATTTATATTTTTACTTCAGCCAGTTTTATTTTTTAAATATTAACTTAAAAGTATTTGTGAGTTGCAAAAAGAGTTGCTATAGTCAGACTTTACATTTGGTGACTTCTAAGCAGAAAGGTTTCGTTTACTATCATTTGAGGATCTGTTTTTGGACAATGTATCTATATAAACAGTACAGTTAAATGTAGGATAGCTTTAAGAGCAAGTTCTATTCTATTCTTCTTTATCCCTGGGTATACTCCTAAGAAGTGAACTACAATAATGTATTTCTTTTTTTTTTTTAAGATTTTATTTATTTATTTGAAAGAGAGAGACACAGCGAGAGAGGGAACACAAGCAGGGGGAGTGGGAGAGGGAGAAGCAGGCTTCCTGCCAAGCAGGGAGCCCGATGCGGGGCTCGATCCCAGGACCCTGAGATCATGACCTGAGCTGAAGGCAGATGCTTAACGACTAAGCCACCCAGGCGCCCCTATGATAATGTATTTCAAGGTCACAGGCTATGTTTATTAAGTATTAGCTGATATGTCTATTAACCTTAAAAAATTTCAGTAGGGTTTTCTTCACATCCTTATCCCATTTATTTTCCCTTTTTTTTCCCTCAAAGTGCAAATTTTTAAAATTGATGCTTCCTCCCCTCCCCTCCTCCTTCTCTAGGGTCTTAGTTGACTTTATTTTCTTTTATCTTAGGGTAAAGAAGGAAAGGCAAATGCAGCTCTAGGCCAACCTCTCTTCCTGCCCTTTAGGATGTTATTAGAGGGTGTATATTATACCTCGGAAGTATTTATACTTTCTTTATTGAAATCTTTTATATTTTGGAAGGTAAAGAATCACGCCTTCAGGTAAGAACTAAATACTACAGTATGTGTGGAGAGGATTATCATGTTCTTAAAGACATGATGTCATTGTGAGAAAAAACAAGTATTAGAATTGGTGTGGTAAAGCCAACAAAAATGTATTTGCCCGCCACCCATTATCGTAATCATTTATTTCACTTATCAAGTCTCCAGAATCTTTATTTCACAATGTAGACACATTTCAGATGATCAGGTGCATGGGTCTAACGCAAAATCTCTTGCAACCCAGTCAGTCGAGTAGCAGACAAACTACACTAGTTAGGTTGGTTTTAAGTGGCCAGTATGTACATTAGAAGGTATCTGGAATATCTAAGAAGGCATCTATAGAAGTGTCATTTTTTTCCTCCTTCTCCCCATCAGTCTGCATCTGACTTTCTCTCTCTCTCCCTCACTCACCTTCACGCGCACACATACTAACACTTAGGATAATCATCACAGCTATACTTAAAAAAACACACAATCTTAAGTCCAAAAGTTTTTTACAAAGGGACTCCAGTTGATTCTCCCACTCCCTACTTGCTCCTTTACCCTCACTAAGGCAAAACTAGCCTCTTAAATTAGACAGCAAACATACCTTAGAAGCTCTTGTGACGATCTCTACCTTTCGGTGCAAGGAGGAGATACTCTCCGAAAAGACAGATCTGAAGATTATGCACTGGGCCCGTTCAGCAAAATTCGGGATCTGGGCTAACTCATGTAAAAATCTGCAGAAATGAATAATGAATCATCTAGCTTCATATACAATCACAAAATTAAAAAAAAGACAGCTGAAAAAGATCCACCATGACAGCATTCCTTACTTGGTGATATCAATTCAACAATTATAAAATGTATCCAACAGGCACACTTAAGGAACTCCAAGGGTCTGTGTTCTATTATTGACAACAAAGCCATTTTTATTTCTCTTATTATTTTCATGGGTTTCTATGATGGTATATAAATGTATGGTGTATAAGTTACTTTAGGAACAGAAAGTTAATGCAATTATACTGAACCACCACGGAGTTATATCCTGCTATGCAAATAGGAGATTAAACCCAAATAAAAGCACTACCTTTGGCGTATGAAAATAAATACATAATGAACTCCCTTTATCATGCAGCATTCTCTAAGGGTCTATTTCACACAGGCAGTCAAGTGAAGGCTGGAAGCAAATGTCTGCAGAGATATGACAAAATATTTCTTCCTGAAGGGAGACGACTACTATTTCTTGCTCACTGAATTAGATAATAGTCTATAGAGATCCTCTTCTACAGATATTTGTTTACTTTTCCACATCAGCTTACCTAGGAAAACAGAGTTCACAGCTCAGCATGTGGAACAAAGCAGGCACTCGTTAAGTGGACATCAATCTTAAAAACTATGGTAAAACAGATTTTTAAAGCTAAAGGTGAGTACTAACCTACACACAGAAGCTCACTGTCTGAGCAACTGGGCACTGGTGCCCTTTGCAAAATTAAGTTGGAAGAGCTACATACTCTCCAGGCCAACCACCAGAAAAGGGGGCATAAACTAAAACGGGCAGAAAGAGTTGGGCATGAATTTAGAGAAGGAGAGAATCCACTAACAGCTATTAAATTCATTTTGGGGCTGAAATGATGAATACCAGATATTTCTGAAAGTCTCGGTCAACGCATAACATCATTACTTTGACATTTTGCAATCTCTCACCAAGAATGCTTTTCCATAGGAGCAAAGCTGAACCCTTCTTTCCATACCCAAAGAAGTCTCCTTAGCTTATACTCTGTGCCTCTTTTACTTTGTTTTAAGGGAGACTTGGGTTTTAATAAGATTCTAATTACCAGCTTTAAAAAAAAAAAAAGATTATCCTATATCCAGGTCATAAACTTTTTTCTTCTCTTTCCTCTTCCTTTTTTTTTGAAAGTAAACTCTACGCCCAATGTGGGGCTTGAACTCAAGAACCTGAGATCAAGAGTCGCCTGCTCTACTGACTGAGCCAGCCTCCCTTCTTCTTCTTTTTTTTCCCATGACACTGAGATGAAGCAAGGAATGCCCATAAAAGTAAACATACCTTTGTTTTGAAGTTCTGTAACTCTGATTATTATGAAAACCATGTGATGGGATATAAAAGTGGAAACCCATAGGAATTCTGAGTTAAGATGAGGTTGTGTCCTCAATCTAGGCTACAAAAAGCATGTGTTTGGCCTAATAAAACCTGCTAGAGCCTCACCTCCCCTCACCACCATCCCAAGGCAGAATGCAAAGAGTTGAGGGCCATCCTTGGAGGGAGTGGCTTTCAGACAGCCCGGGCCCAAGCAGATGATACCTCTATGGGAAATGGCATCCTCAGTCTGGCACTGGGCTGCAAGAAAGCTGATGAGGTGAGGGATGGGACCATCCTCTCCATGCTATGATTTATAGGACTGGACATCACAGGGATCTTAGGAAATCACAATGTTGAAACTATAAATGATTCATATTTTCCAGTATGTAAAACATGCTTATAGTCAACTAACTTGGAGCCAATGGCAAGTAAGTTGCCAGGAAATCGGACTCTGGCTAAAATCAAACAAATGCTGCACTATGCAGGAGGTCAAGGGCAAAGGTGAAATGCACTCGGGCTTCAAGCCCCAACCTCTGTGTACCTCACCCTCCAGCAACTGAGCCTGAGCACATCACCTCACTGGGACAACACGACAGTCCTCTTTGCTGTCAGTGATAGCTTAGCATCTTTGGGAAGCCATCGCCATGACGATTTTCAAACTTTGAAAATGCTCCCTTATTCAGGTCATCCCGTAGAGAAAGCAGGAATCATAAATTTATCTGTTAATTACCTGCCACCATTATTCTGTGTCCTGGCAATCAGTCTTCAAAAATAATGCTAGAAAGACATTAACCCTAAAGGAAAAGGGGAACACTTCCAGTAACAGAAACCCACTCTTCATTTCACTGGGTCAGCCACTCCCAGGGCATGGAGCAGGAGGTGGCAAATTATAGCCCACGGGCCAAATTCACTTCCTCACTCGTTTCTGGATGGCCCACCAACTAAGAATGGTTTTTATATTTTTAAGTGGGTGAAAAAGAATCAATAGAAAGATAACATTTTATGATGTCTACACAAATAACAGTCAAATTTCAGTGTCCCTAAATAAAATTCCACTGATACACAGTCATGCCCATTTGTTTACATGTTGTCTATGGTTTACGTACTTCCAACAAAGCCTAAAATACTCTATGATCTTTTACGTGAAAGGTATATGAACTCTAGGCTGAGAGATCATTGCTCAGTGTAGCATAGCCAGCACTACCCGAATGCTGGATATGCCCTATTGTCCCTGTTAAGGACTGAATGTTTATGTTCCCCCAAAATTTGTATGTTGAAGTCCTAACCCCCATTGTGATGGTTTAAGGAGGCAGGGCCTTTGGGAGGCAATTAAGTCATGAGCGTTGAGCCCTTATGAGTGAAGTTAGTGCCCTTAGGAGAAGGGACATAAGAGCTTGCATCCTTCTCTTTGCCTTCTGTCATGTGAGGATAGCAAGAAAAGTTGGCAGTCTGCCTGGAAGAGGGTTCCCACCAAGACCAAACCATAATGGCACCCCAATCTCAGACTTCCAATCTCCAGAACTATGAGAGATAAATTTCTGTTGTTTCTAAGTCACCCTGCTTAGGGTACTTTGTTATAGCAGCCCAAGCTAACTCAAACAGTCTTCAAATACTCCCCATGGCCTTGTCGGTGTCTAAATATCCCAGGATGAGTCACTTCATGTTCAGTCATTAGCACCTTAGTGGGAATTAATTTATTACTAGGAAACATGACCTGGGAGTGGACCACAGGACTGGTCAGGGGCAGGAACTGGTAGGGAGGGTAGCTCAAACTGATGGGCCAGAAGGGCAGCAGAACCCCCTTTGCACTGATTCACAAGATTCCTAGCCTTCGTGAACTTGGGGCAGGGCGGGGGTGGGGTAGAGAGTGGTTCCTGGCCTCTATTCCATGTGAGAACAATCCATCTAAGGTTCCCAAAATTATCACGAAGGCTTGCCAATAACTGAGTAAACCTAGAAATCCCCCACCCAGTCATTTTATCCAGGCAATCCAAGGGGAGTGGGGCATTCTAGTGGACCCAAGGGCAAGCCATGAAAGTTTCAATACAAGCCACGGAAACTTAGATGTCTCTAGGGCTCACTTGTTGTCCTAAACCTGACTTCTTAATTTCTTCTGTGTTTTCTAACCCCTGCCTCATCTCCAGACTGAGGGGAGTGGCCTGAATTGGACATGAATGAAGCATTCAAGGTGGCGACAGGCAAAGGATCCCTCTCTCCACTCTGGACCCATTCCACATCCTCAGTCCTGGGCCATGAAAATGTAGTTGGGGTCCAGGGGCTACAGAGTCCCATACACTTATCTGTGGTGTGCAGACCCCAAGAGCCCAGGCAAGGCAAGAGCCACTCCATTCATCATCAGAGGTCTAGGTTTTCAAAGGCCATGGCTCGACAGCCCAAACCATAGAGCAAACAACTCTAGATGGTGAATAGAGAGAAAAACGAGCAGATGCGAAAAGGATGAAAAGGTCACCTGTCAATTGGGCAGAGCAGGTGGAGGGATTTGGGGGAAAGCCGGCACGTTCAGGCTACGTTTACTGGATACAACATTTAGGAAAATCAATTTGAATTCTGAGTCTGCCATCGTCTTTTTAACTGCATCAGCAGAACCTTAAACAGAGCAATGCCTTCTTCCTTCCTCAGTTACCCTTTTGGCTAGAATGTTTAGTCTAGGAGGAATTAACAAGCTGCTAGAACGAGAAAGGGGAATCATGAGGGGTGGGGAGAGGGGTTCAGACATATTAGATCCAGCAGTACAAATCCCCGGGCTGCCTTTCCCGGCAGCCAGATCATTCATCTGCGTGCAGGAGGTCACGGGGATGATGGTGCTATGACTTAGCTCACTGCACAGTTTAGGAGCGATTACTCAGAGCAGGGAGGCAGGGGGACAGAGATGGCGCTTGTCCTTTTGGCCTAATGGAGAAGTGTTCAAGCGTCCTTACTGCTCAGGTTTATCCAGCAACTTCAATTCTTCTTCTTTGGATGTCTCGTAATACTTCCTTATTTTAACCAGTTCATCCTCTTGTGCTCTCTGGGTTGAGACAGGAAATCAAACAAAGCACACAAAAAATGAACAATAAGCATCTGTCTAAAGCACTGTGTCTCCAAGTGTGGTCTCTGAACCAGCAGCATTGGCATCACCCACCTGTTTCTAGTTAGAAATGCAAATGACTGGCTCTATCCCAGTCCTAAGAAGCTGGGGGGGGAGGCGGGGCAACAAGCCCTCCAGGTGATTCTGACGCATGCTAACATTGGAGAACCACTGGCTAAAGCAAATGGTCATACCAAGGGACGGTAGGGGGACCCAGAAGGCAGGACATTGGATTGCCACCTTTGAAGCCCCCGTCTCTTCCCATGTAAGCAGGTTATCAATCCACTGTCCTTAGCATTTGTTTCCTGACCCTTAGAACAGCTCCTCTAACTTACGTATGCTCCTGACTTCTGCATTTCTAGTCTCCACCTTCTCTTTTTCTGAATTTGCTAAACATTCATCTGCACTGCTTCTTTTGGCATTTAGTTACGTCATTTTCTCAATGTATCCAGCTAATGAGTACGGCCCCCATGCACAGACCTGAGCTCACCTAGAAGGCACTCTTCCTTTTACAAAGTCCTTCAATATCAATTATTGTATCTTTGTATTTCAGATGATCCTACCAAGGCTCATACTGAGTACTGGATAAAGGGCCTGACTCAGAATCTCTTTCTCCCATCACACCACGCTGCCCTCCAGGTACTCCACAAATGTACTGTTAGCTCCCAATGGCCTGGTATTTGTGCACCTTCCTGTCTATTAACAAAAGCTTTACTGATGGAACATGAGAAGTTCCCACCCATTGTACTAAACAGCTCCTGATATATATAAAGAATGTGAAAATGTGTAGGGAAGTAGCAATCCCACAAGGTTGGATTTTTGCACTCTGGAAATTTTCTATAAGGGATAAAGTCCCAGGAGATGTAGCATTGAAATGAATCATTTTTTTTTTTTTTTAACTTGCTGACTGGAGAATACTCTAGGCAGCTCCCAGGGAAATACTGCTACTTCAATAAAGAGAATCTGGTTCACTCTGTTTTCAAATCCTAACAGTCAATGAATCAGAAATGTTAACAACCATGGGAATTCTAACTCTCCTGTGTCATCCTCTCAAGAGAGCCTGCCAATTCTGCTGGTTATTCCACATATAACCCAAATTTAAAGACCACCTATGTGTACAGTGCTGTGTATTTTCAAAATATATTGCTACTGCTGCCTATATTGAATTCTGTTTAATACAAAAATCAGATAGAGCCCTTTATAATCCCCGTTGTACTGGTGATCAAACAGGCTTAAGGAATTTAACCGGTCCAAAGCTACTCAGCAGTCAACAGTAGAGTGGGACCTCAAATCTAAAATTATCTGACTCTAAATCCAAAGCACACACCTCCCATCTTATACTACTTCCCACATTCAATGTCATGAGCTCATCTGATCTGAAAGTAATCATCCAAGCTGGTATTAGTATTCCCATTCCCGAGGAAGCACTGGTGTAGACCAACAGTAAGCTGGTAGTTTAGCTTCACTCACTCTGACAGTCAGCCGCAGGGCTGGGTTCCATGGCCTAGAAAGGGTCTCTACCTTGAACCACCCTCCCACGCAAGCGTGCAAAGAGATCTGCTAACCCAAATACCACAGTGGGGTCAGAACCCAGTGCTTTTCTCACATTTGCTCTCATTTGAGTGTATGCTTCTAGAAACTATACCTTAATCTCTCCCATGCTATATCAAAATCCTCACGGCCAAAGAACGTGAACGGCTTAACGATTTGGGGGTGGGGCAGAAGGAGTCACATATAACCATCTTTTAGGCCTTAACATTTTTTTAATTAGTGAAGATATAAAAATCTGAAAAAACTGCCTCTGTATGTCTTTGATACTTACATTTTCATATAAGGCTGCCAGAGTCTCCAGATCAACCACAGAGTCATCCACATTGAAAATGGCTGCCAAGCACCCAAAAAGAGAGAGGGAAAAAAAAGATAAGAGGTTTGATTAGACTCCCCTACACTAATGAGCTAGCCACACTCCACGTCTAGCTTCCAGGCAATATAACACTGCACTTCTTCACACAAGTTGTATCTTTCAGCCTGTTCTTGCTCCCTTTCCTTTTGCGCCAGGGGGCCTCTGAAGAAAGAAACCAAAATGGTTCCTATCACTGGCCTGAGCCTTGGCCCTGCCTGGTTTAATTCCTCAAGTTCTGTGTCCTTTCTGCAGTTTAATTTAGGCTCCACAGGAGAAGTGTTTGTGCTTTAAAACTAAATCAGTTTGTAGGTTTGAAACACAATTTTAAATCTTTCTTCCCGGCTGGTAATTGAAGAGATTTAGTACCTAATGTACCAGAACTGACTCTTGCCCATTACCAGGAAGAGAGAAAAAAAGACAATGTTGGCAAATTAAATGAATTCAGGCATGTGATTTTAGGCACCTTTCCATGGCCACTGCAAACATCTTGTTTGGATTAAAAAGACAAGAAAAAGCAATAATTGCATCAATGGCAAATTAAGATTATGGAAACCTCCCATGAGTTAGTCTTAAGGCAAGTTCACATTCCCATGGTTTTATTAGGATTCTACTTGCTGTTCTGTATCTTTAAGTCATTTAGCTGTTCACTAATATGATTATGATTTCACCTAGGGAGATTCCTTCCCATATATACTGGGATACAAACATTGAGACTGTAAAGCCTTAATGGATTTGGCAATCAAAGTGTTTGAAATAGGCAGCTCCACATCTTTAAATAATTATTCAAAACTAATAAGGTTTGTTCTCTCAACCCCACCTCCCTTCTCTGACTTTACATTGTGAAATTAACCAGCACGCTAGTAAATTTTCTCCGTGGCAGGCTAATTAATTTTATTAAACCAACCAGTGATATTTAGAATGCCTTAAAATTTTGCTCGTCAACCATTATTCTGTTCATTGGCATTACACCATGGTTTTGGAGAAGGTAGAGATCAAGGTGAAGGGCAGTTTCCTTTCAAATTGTTTTGCACCTTCTGTAGTCGAATCATAAGAACCCCCTTATACAATTTTAACAAAGTTAATTAACTGAGCTAAGATCATGTAACTTCACAGAACACTGAGAAATGTACTTAAAATTCCTTCACAGGCCACCTTCTCTAACTTAGGGTTAATCAGCAAGCTATTCTTAGATATAGGAGAGTGGGGAAAAAAGAGGTTAACATGCTAGTGACAAAGTCAGCTCAGATTCCACTAAGACAAAGGGAAATCACACTTCTAAAAAGTCCCATCTGAAACCACAAAAGAAAAATGGAGCTCGAGGAAAGAATGAAAGAATTTACCCTCCGAGGATGGTTATTTTGTATGTGGAGATCATATGAATTCACAAATTTATTAGAAAGACCATGAATTTCTGGTGCTTTTAAAAAAAATAGCCAGGAACCATGCCTCATTTATGTCAATTCCAATATTCTCCTACAAAAACTGGCCAACAGGAATGCAATAAGAAAAGGTAAAGTTCTACAAACAGTTCTATCCTAAACTAATCCTACGTTGTAGGTACTCTATCTGAACTGCAAGCTTAGATGTAACCGAGTTATCTTAACCAACAAGAAAGAGAATGACCTGTGGGTTGTTTTTCTCGTGAGTAAATATTTGGTTTTTAAAAGTTCATCAGTCTGGGTCCCAGATACATGGTTTGACAGGTAGTGTGGTCAGCCAATTCTTCTCCAGTGTGCTAGGCAGCAATAAGGAAACATCTAGAGGATGGGACTGGAGAACAAATATGGGGCTCTGGAGACATTGATTCATTCATTCACCCAGCCCTGAACTAAATATTTGCTGAATGTGTATTAAGTAGTAGAAACTGTTCTAAAATGCTGTGATTATATAATTCAAAAGTGTGTGAGAAGTTCAAAACACTTAATCTCTTGAAATTTATACTCTAGCCAAGGGGAGAGAAAATAAACAAGTAAATAATTTCAGATAACAATATACTGCGAAGAAAGTAAAGAAATGAGCAGCATTAGATAGGATGGGTGATGAAGGCTTCTTTGGGGAGGCAACATTTAAGCTAAGAGCTGAAGAGGTCAGTTCTGTAAATGTCTGGGAGAAGAACTTCCCAGGGAGAGGTAACTGCGCAAGGAAGTTTCTTTTTCTGGTGAAGGAACAAGCTTAAGGTACAGAAAAAGACCAAGACTACCTCACGGAAGGAACAAAACTTACTCGCTATGTGATCCTGGCAGGTTAAAGTGTCCGAGCCTCAGCACATCCATAAAAACATGGGTCTAATATCACGTGCTAAAAATACTAAATGAGGGAATATGTACGCTTGGCATAGCACCTAGACCATGGTATGAACTCAAAATGGTACCAAAGAACGATGACTATTATGATTTCAGATATACACATGGTTAATGTGTTTTAATGCTTGTTAATGCCTTATCTCCTTTAACATCTGGAAAGGATTAGAGACAGCAGGCTACAGAGTAGTTTGTGCTGTAAATGAAACTTCCAGAACTCAGGAGTGTTTCAGGTAGGAGTCGCTGCTATTAAACCCATTTGGTCCTTCACAAAACCCTGCGTGAAGCACAACCTCAGGAAGCATTATTAATAGTCAAGGTATATACACAAATAGTTGTAATTACAGAAAATAATGCCTCAAATGTCTTAAGAGAAATACAAGGTACCTTTGGGTCCATTCAGAGAGTCAACCTCATCTGCATCTCCAACTTCCACCTTTACTACCAATCTACCATTCATCGTACCAACAACGTTATTTTTCTAAACCACGGGTCTCAACATTTTACTTTGATGTTTACAATACCTCTTATGTCTTTCCTTTAAATAGCAGGTAAAGTCCAAATGCCGTGGCCTGATGTTTAAACCCATTCCTTTCTGGCCCCAAGCTACACTTCCAATCTCATCTCCTACCACCTGCACTTCTCCCAGATACCTTGTGCTCCAGCCTCTTGGGGCAACATAACCATGACTTCTTCCCTTCCTATGCCTCCTCACCCCCGAAAGGCCTAGGGGAAAGGTTTCCTGCCCTGGAAGGAACTCCTTGACCTTCAGATTCTTACATCCTCATTCTTTTCCTCTTCCGTGGCCCTGCATCTGTATTTTACACAAGGGAAGAGAGTCTAATAAAGGACCTGTATTACAGTGTGTAGCAGAACAGTTTCCCTCCTCTGTCGGACCGCAGAAGCCCTGTAATCATGGATCATTTCTATGCATCTTGATAACCCCAGCACCCGGCATAGCACCTGGGGTGTGACAGGGATAGAAGTGTATGGATGGGATAGAGGATACAGGAATCCCCCCAAACAGAGTCCTTCTGTTGGGTATCAGGAAAAGTTTCTTGATAAAGAGAGCATGGGGTCTTGAAAAAGAAAACAGAAACTTTAAAAAGGGATAGGATTTTGGCAGATGAAAATGTCTTATGAGAGGTGTATCTGAATTAGGGTCATTTGCTCAGCCCCATTAGTCCCTGGTTAAAAAAAAAAAAAAATCAAGGTTTAGTTGGTCGAGTTGCGTTATTACGCCCTCATCCACACACCCAGTAGAGAAACACTGCTTGCCCTGAATAGTCCATACTAAAAACTGATTAAGTTTCACAAGTAAATTTTCTCATTTTCAAAGAAAGAATAAGGAGGGGTGCCTGGGTGGCTCAGATGGTTAGGCGTCTGCCTTCAGCTCAGGTCATGATCCCAGGGTCCTGGGATGGAGCCCCGCATTGGGCTTCCTGCTCGGCAAGAAGCCTGCTTCTTTCTCTCCCACTCCCCCTGCTTGTGTTCCTGCTCTCACTATCTTTGTCAAATAAATAAATAAAATCTTTAAAAAAAAAATAAAGAAAGAATAAGGAGAATAGCTTTCCCTTCATTCTTAACCTCCAGAAATGTTTTAAACAGCAGTATCACCTTAGGTAGAAAGGTTACGAGTAAAAATTCACTGGTTATATTGCTTCAGGCAGACATGTGAAACACTCATTTATTAATTACCATTAATTAAGCCAAATTCATTCTGAGTAAGGACAATCTGTAAATTTATAACAAGTGCCAGTGAACACCAACAGGAAGGATGTGAGACGTTTCAAATGGAAGAAGCAGATGCAGACAGGCTCATGGAAGGTGCAGGCAATGGCAGGGAGTTCACGTTTGGCTTGAGGAGAGCATTAATTCTACTTTGGAGCAAGGTACTGAGCAGCTAGGAGCAACAGAGTGAACTGAACAGAGTTATATGCCATAGGACATGTCGAAATTTGGAAAAACTGGTTTAAGAACCTATTCTGGTGAGCAAGTGGTAGCAAATACTGTGGATAGAAAGCACGGGACAGAGGGGCAGGACACAACAGAGAGCTACAGAGTGGTATCACTAACTAGCTATGGGACTGAGGAAATTGGAGTTAAAACCACCTCAGGGTTTGGGACGCCTGGGTGGCTCAGTCAGTTAAGCATCTGCCTTCGGCTCAGGTCATGGTCCCAGGGTCTTGGGATCGAGCCCTGCATCCGGGCTCCCTGCTTGGCAGGGAGCCTGCTTCTCCCTCTCCCTCTGCTGTTCCCCCTGCTTGTGCTCTCTCTCTCTGTCAAATAAATAAATAAAATCTTAAAAAAAAGAAAACCACCTGAGGTTTTGCATCTAGATTTGGAGGAAGAGCTTTGCGCCACCCCCAGAAATGGGCAGAGGGCCTTAAGAGCTGGATAGGCCTGTTGATCTTACACCAAGGACCTGGAGGGAGGAACAGGAGAGAGGAAAACTACTTGTGAAGGAAGAATTAGATAGACTAATTTAGGGTCAATGCCAAGTATTCCACTGAGGTTTTCCCTCTTCCATGTAAAGATCTTAAAAACACAAGTAAAAAAGGAAAATAAAATTCAGAGGTGGAAGAAGCATTATGAAGAGATATCCTGGTTGAGTCCAGGAGCTTAAGGAAATTATTAGAATTCTCTTATTTCTCTTCTACAGAGTAGCCAAGGAAGGTTAG